GTTTATATAAGATACAACTTCTCATATTAAATGGCAGCTTTTCATTGCTAGTGCTGAATATGAAGAGGTTGCTGGCTTTCTCAAAACAATAAATGTGAATAGTAATTAAAACTTTCTGGAAGGCAATCTATTAATACCTATTTAAAATAATTTAAATATGCATAACTTTTGACTTCAGAATTTATCCTAAGGAAATAAAAATGTAATGATTAAACTGTCAAGAACCTAACTGCTACATTATTCACTCACATTTATTGAGAAAAGCTTAAATTTTCAACAATTGAAATGGTGGTTAAATAAATGATGATAAATCCATTTGCCGAATATTATCCACACATTTAAAATAATGTTATATGTTATAAACAAATAATATGTTATTGACTTGGGTAAGCATTCATTCTATTAAGTGAAAATAAGACAACGAGAAAAAACTCATACCAAAAAATGAAACTATATATGATAGATTTCTTAAAAAAAAAAAAAAAAGTAAATACCTATTAAAAAGGCCAATAAGACCAAAGTGATAATAATGATTATCCCTGGATGGAGGCATTATAAATGTTACTTATAATTTATGCTTTCCTGAATTCTATAATATTTCTACAATTATTATGTACTACATTAGTAACTAAGAAAATACACAATGTTTACAATACTGCTGTGACTATAGCTACAATGGTATCCAAAATCAGGGCAACATTGATATTCCCACTCTATTTAGGCTGCACAAAAATCAGGGATGCCAAGCCTGAATCACAGTGAAAGAAATGTTGAGAACTCTAGAAAACAATCAAAAGTTTTTCACTCCACCTTTATGATCAAGTACAATGTGAAAAAAATATTTAGATATTAGCCATTCTGCTTTTAGCCCCATGCCAAATGTAAGAATCAAGAGTAAGGAACAACCCCTGGACCTCAAAACCAATAGGGCTCAGCTTTTACCTACATTCAAATTGTGAGCCAGAAACTTTTTTCTAAAAAGTGATTGGGGAGAATATAGGTATTATCTTTCTCAGTATAGAAAGAATGGGCCTTCAACACTTTCTAATCACAACTCTTCTCAGTCTCATTTGAGAGACAGAAAAATTATTTTCTCCCCCATGTATTTAAAAGGCATATATCCTAACGGCAAGCAAGCAGGATTTCTTCTGAGCAAAGATGTTGTAAACAGGAGATTTTCAAATGTTAAATGTTCTCTTTCCTCAGTGCAAATATGCAGCCTAACTCTGCGAGGGCCAAAAAGACTCTGGCTCTCAACAATAAGCAATAATCAAACTGTTAATTCCATCTGCTCCCCTCCAAAAAATGACAAAACATTACATGGTGGTGCCAGGGTCTCAGGCTCCATTTAAGGGGTTTTCTGAAGGGCATCCATTTTCACAATATCAACATGCTAATTTTTTTTTAGTACTTCAGAAACCAATCCTGATACTATATGATGACAACTTTGATGCTGATAACAAATAAATATACTATCTTTAACATCTTTGTTAGAGATGTTGTTTCCAGAATTATCTTCCTTTCTTATTGGTCAAAGCACTAAATTCCAACCACTTCTATTGTCTCAGGGACTTAGTTCCAATAAACATCTACCTAATCTTTCCTGAATATCTTATTTCTTGCTTTCCTTAAGAATGTAAAGAAACAAGCATAACATTTCTTCAACCTGAATCCCTTTGTAGTGGTTTCAACATGCCTGCACAGTGGAATTACCCAGAGAACTTTAAAATACCTATGCAGCTAATCTATTGTAACAGAAAGTAGAGCAATAGCTTACAGGGATGAAAGGAAAGGGAGGAGAGAAAACTTTTGGAGGTGATGAATCTGTTCATTATTTTGATTGTGGTGATGGTTTTGTGACTGTAAACATATGTCAAATAAACTACACACTTCAGATGTGTAGCTTATTAAATGCTAATTATACTTCAATAAAGCTGTTGAAATAAATACTGATGTCTGGGTCCCACCCACAAATTGATATGGGGGCTCCCCCTGGAAACTGGGATTCTTAAAAACTCTCCAGATGATTGTAAATGTGCAGCTAAGATTGAGAACCACTGCTCTATATCGATCTTTATCTCCTCTCTCCATTCTTTCAGTTTTCTTGAAATGCCTCATTCAAGCATGTTTACTTTATCATCATCACCCATTCTTTCTCAATTTTCTGAAGACTGATTTCTGAATCACCACTCAGCTAAAACTGTACTTGTTAAAGTCACCTATGGACTCCTGACAAATTCACTGGTTCCTGGAGTCCTCTCCTTACTTGATACTTCTTTACAGCATTCAAAACTGTCCATCCATTCCTCCTCTATGTGAAAATCTCTCCATCCTTAGCATCTCTCCTGATGGCCCTCCCACCTTTCTCTGACTCCACCTTTCTCTTCTATCTCTTTCACACTATTCTTCTACCAACTTCTCTTTATCAGTCAGTTCTCTGCTGCTTTTATCATGCTAAAGGCTTTCCCTGACTTATTTCAACATAACTAAATCAATACAGCTTCAAATTAACCCCAATTTTCCCTCTAATACTGATTTCCTTTACAAATTCCACATCCATAGATCCAAACACCTACATCTTCACCTGAATGCTCCATAGCTTGGTCAAATTCAAGAAACAATGCCCTGGTCCAGCCTTCTACCACCCTCACTAGTGTCATCTTCCACCACTTCCCTAACCCCTGCATTCAATGTCAATGTTATTGACTTTAGACTTGTCATTGAGAATGACCTCTCTAATCTATCATGGTTTCTCATGCCTCCTTGCCTTCTCACTTTCTATATTCTCCTCTTGGAAAGTGATTCACTGCACTTGGCAAAATTATATATCATACTTCAAAACTCTACTGCAGCGGTTCTCAACCTGTGGTTCACGACCCCTTTGGGGGTCGAACGACCCTTTCACAGGGGTCACCTAAGACCATCAGAAAACACATAAATCATTACATATTGTTTTTGTGATTAATCACTATGCTTTAATTATGTTCAGTTTATAATAATGAAAATACATCCTGCATATCAGATATTTACATTACGATTCATAACAGTAGCAAAATTACAGTTATGAAGTAGCAACGAAAATAATGTTATGGTTGGGGGTCACCACAACATGAGGAACTGTATTAAAGGGTCGCAGCATTAGGAAGGTTGAGAACCACTGTTCTACTGTGTGCTCCTGACTCTACCTACACCAAGCATTAGCCATCTCCTACTCTGCTCCCTTACTACACTAGGTATATCACTTACCACATGGTTGTATGATTGTTATTTTACTTACTTGTCTTGTAAATTAGCAAATTCCTTGATGACAATAGCTATGACATTCATTTCTGTATCCCTAGTACCTAACAGCTTGGGTCAGTACAAAATACATTTGTTTGACATAATTTCAATTATTTACAAAATATAAACCTGATACCCTAAACATGATCTTCATACTAACATTATTTAAAGATTTCTTAATATTCATTATAAAATAAATATCAGGCAACAGGATGCTGAATAAAAGTCAAATATCTTGACCATAAGATATTTTTAAACTCTGTCAAAATGACACCACTAAAAAAATGCAACCAACAGCAGACTTCAGAAAAGATAAATACAACAAAGAAAGGAAGTAGGAATAACATACTAATCTAGCCAATGCTTTATGTGGATGTCCATACCCAGGTCCCGTTAAGGCTGATACCTAAGAGGGTTTATAATCCCTCTCTGGTAATAATCAGTGTAAATCAAAAAAGAATAAGCCAAATCCAGAATTTGTTTTCTAACCATGTGATGGTTTTCTCCCTTACTATTTTGTTTACGTGAATTATCTGAATAACTAAAGGTTTTCCTTTTTTCTTTCTTGCCTTTCCCTGCACTTTAAAAATGTGGTGCTTTGGACTAATACGGATCTTGCAAACCTTAAAATGTTATTAACTTAAAGGGGGGAAAAATGCTTATAAGTTGGGGGAGCTTGAGGGGGTACAGTTTGGATGTTAAGACAATATTCTTAAGGGAAACAAGCCTCCCAGGAATATAACATTGACTCATGGTGAAAAGAGATCCTTATGACTTTATATAGATGAGATTTTAAAAGCTGAAAATCTCCAACTGTAAAGGGTTACATGAGCCAAAGAGGTGGGCATACCAGCTCCAAAAACTACGTGTGACTCAAAGGACAAATAATTTGCAAAAGGACTGCGTGGGCCCTGCTGCCTGCAGTCGGGGCTCTGAGATAAGTAGCAGCTGCCAGGCCAGCGGCACCAACTCCCCTACCTGCAGCGCGAGCGGAGCGGCTGGGCTGCCTGGCGGGCGGGCGACAGCGTGTGTATCAGACACCGATTCTGTGCCGCCGCCACCGCTAGGGTTGCAACGTTCAACCTTTCGGAAACGTCTACACTCGGAGTGTACAACACACACATGTGCACACTGAAGGGCGGACACCCAGCTCGGCCGAGGCGTGCAAACTTGCGGTCTCTCCATGCAACAATGTTCCGACAACACCCAGGCGATCCTCGAGAATGTTAAAAGCGGCCTCGGGGAAGTCATAACTCAAAGAAAAAAGGAGGCAAAGGCTGAAGCGATCTGCCGAGTAAAACCAAGGAAGGAGTCGTTGGCTGCTTTCTGAACCCCTACGTCCTGCGGGGGAACCACAGACCCCAGCGAACGCTTTCAAAGAACTAGGGTCCGGGGGGGGTGGGGGGGGAACCGGGACCATGTTGGCCGCTAGACTGGACCGAGAGCGGTAGCCTCGCTGGACTGGGAGGAAAGGATGGGAGAGGTCAGGCCGGAGCAT